TCGAGGCTCGGTGATGCTGACGCCCCGTTTCCGTAGAGCGACACTCTGCTGAGCAGCCTCACGGTGCGAGAGACGCTGCGCTACACCGCGCTGCTGGCCGTCCGCCGCTCGCCCGGCGTCCTGGAGAAGAAGGTGGGTACAGCCACTACCGGGGCAGTGCTGACCCTGGCACTAGGGACAAACCCCACAGACTCATCAAGCCCGGCTGGCTCTGCACCCTTCTCCCCCCACCTCCTCGCCTTCGCAGGCCGGTTCCTTCCCTTTGCCTGACACCCCTGTCCTCCAGACTCCACCTGCGCTGTCCAGGATGCCAGCCACCTGTGCTTTTTGAGCAACTGAAATGTGACCAGTTCAGACTGAGATGTGCTCTACGGGTAAAACACACACATCATTGCAGCAGGTGGTGTGGTGGGTAAGCTACTGGATTCCCACACACTGGAGCGCAGTTAGTCCCAGGTCAGCCTTCTAAAATCACAGCAGGTGAGTGTGCCCAAAATCTCAAGAGGAGAATGGAGAAGGGATTGCAATGTGGCCATACCCTCCTCCCAGGGATGGTTTCTAATTTCTCTCTCTCTCTCTCTCTCCCTGGTGAGAGCACTCACCCTATGGCAAAACAAACAAAACAAAACAAAAACAAACACTCTCCCCTATGCACACATGATTTCTGGAAAGGGAAAAAAAAGAGTGAAATAAAGAGTTTTTAAAGGGGCCAGCAGATGGTGTGGTGGTTAAGGAACTGGACTCTCACATGGCCAACTGTGGTTTGTGTCTGGACTTGACGGCTTGAAAATTGTACTGGGCACATGTGAGTGTGTGCCCAAAACCCCAAAAGGAGAATGAAGGAGAAGCAATTGTGACATGGCCATCCCTCAGGGGAGGGGGAATGATTTCTCACTTTTTCTCTCTTTCTGTCTCTCATCTGCCTCTGGCAAGTGCACATGCCCTACGGCAAAAACTTTTAAAAAATTATTTTCTTTAAATATTGGTAATGGAAAAAAGAATTGATTATGGGTTGAAATGATCATTTTTGGCTGTAAATTATATGACTAAGTTTAATTTTACCTGTTTCTTTTTACTTTTAAAAATATGGTTACTAAAATGTTTCAATTCTGTACATGGCTGGCATTATTTATTGTGCTGTCAAACAAACTATGTTTGAACAGATAATAGTGATAAGGGGACTTCAAAAAATTTGAAGACAAGTTTATTTTGGCACAAAAAATTTGAAATGCATGCATTATTATTATTCATAATATGCATTTCCATGAACCCTTTTAGTTTCCCCTCTGACTTTCTCAGCTTCGAGGCATTTTGAATGTCCCTCATCCTAGCCTGATTAAATTAATGAAGGAGTAAACTACTGAACTGTCAGTTCTTTCTAGGTTGCAATCTGTTTAAGTGTACCAAATTTGGAAGTAGCCACAGGTAACCCCCATTTTACCTGGAAACACTGCCTCATCCTTTTTATTTTTCTTTCTTTCTTTCTTTCTTTCTTTCCTTCTTTTCTTTGTTTGTAGTTTTGCATGTACGCTGGAGGGAGACAGAGAGATTTAGGAGATAGGCAAAGTGAGACATCACCCTCCAAGAGGAATAGCCATGTAGCAATCCCCTCTACTCCATTCTCTTTTTTGGATTTTGGGCGTGTGTGCATACATGCCCAGTGTGATTTTCAAGCTGCTGGATTAGGGACTCAAACCCACTCATGTGGGATCTAGTGACCTTAACCTCTACACCACCTGCTGACCCATATTTCCTTTTTCTCTGGACTGCGAAGGCCTGGGAGCACCTGGGGAACCGATGACAGGTAGATGTGCCTCATTCAAAGGGCACTGCTCCTGGAGAAGCAGGCTTGTTGGTTGTGACGCCCTCAGTGAATAACCGGTATTCTTCTGTGGAGAGTCCTGGACAATTATGGAGTGTGGCTTTCATTCTAGAGGAGGCTTTACCAGGGGCCTGGCCTCCAAGAAAGACCATCAGCCTTCCCGGGGGTTAGTTTAGGGTGCTCAGAAGGTGTCACGAGGTTCTTGCTGTTTCACTAGGCTGTCCTCTGGGCACTCATATCTGGCTGGCATTTGGAAGGGCCTGTTCACAAGCACTCTCTCATGTCATTCCTCTGTCAACCTATGAGGGAGACATTATCCCCATCTTGCAGAACAGGAAACTTACACCTGAGGAGATTAAGATCCGACAACTGGGAATGGCAGAGCTGGGACAAGAACCCAGGCCCTCTAGCTCCATCATGCTTCCTGAGACCTTTGGGGTCTGAAAAGATGGAGGCCAGAGCTCAGCCCACTGGGAGACTTGGTGTATACAGACGTCACATGACGTGGTGGCCCCAGCAGTGTGTGGCAGGCGAGGAGCCAGGCTACATGGCCCCTCTGTAGGCTTTTTCTCTGCTTGCTTTAGTGTTCTCTAAAATGGGGAGAAGACCCCACTGGTATCTGGGTGGGAGAATCGAAGTCAGGAACAAGTTCTTCTGAGTGAACAATACATTTACATCCCATAACTCACTGAAAAAAATCTGAGAAAGCCACTGGCTCTTTTCCCCAGAAAAATGCACATATCTGCATAAAAATTCAGAAAATCCATGAGTACCTTGAAATCAAAGGATGATAAATTTGCCCCCCACCCACATCACTCCCTGACACAGGCAGCCCCTACAGGTTCTGCAAAGGCTGATAGCACAGAATTCTCTCTACTTGAGAGTCCTTTCTTAGCAAATCCAGGCCACAGGGCATGAAAGCCTGTTGAAGTACTTTAGGAAGAAGGAAGTGACGGTGGTAACAGAGGAGACCTCACTATGGCTCTGCTTCTGTCCTTGGAGGCCCAGGCTGATGTGCGTGGGCTGTGTCTGCTGGGCTGTCTGCTAAGCCTGGTGCTTCCTGGGCCACCCTGGAGAGCCCAGATGGTGCTGTCTCAGTCCTGGCTCTGCCACTTGCCAACGGCAGGACGTTGGGCAAGTTATGGACTCCTCTGAGAATCTAATTCCTCCTCTCTAATAAACAGAATAATACTGCCCCTTCCCTGGGGTTGACATGAAGAGTAAACCCGATTATGTGAAAGCACAGAGCATAGAGAGGATTGAGCTTAATCCCAGTGGTCCCTTCAAAGTGAATTCCATTTTCAATAGCGTTTGCAAAATATACAAGAGGCTTCCTGCCCGGAGGTGAAACATTTGTGACAAATTAAGTAAGAGGAGTTTCAGGGAGCTGTAAAGTTTAGATAGACTGAAGAGAATTTTAAGAAGTGTGGCGGAGTTGAAATTAGGTCCTCTTTAAAATCCTTGAAGACTTGAAGTAAAAAATTGAAGTTATTTTTAGTTACTTTTTATAGCTGGATTATATTTCTTTGATTCAAAACCACACTGAGATTGGACCTCATGGGACACTAAGACTTATTTGGGTTACACAGGGAAAACGGTTGTCCCAACTAAATTAGATTTTTAAACATATGAAACATTTGGGCCAGCCAGTGGTGTAGTGGTTAAATAGCTGGGTCCCACATGACCGACTACGTAGTTCAAGTCTCGGACCCTGTAGCTTGGGAAATACACCAGGCACTTGTGCATAAGTCCCCAAAATCCTGAAAGGAGAAAGGAGAAGGGACTGTGGGGTAGCCATTTCCCCTGGGGGTGCTTTCTCCCCTTCCACCCCCAGGTATCTTTCCAGCAAGTACGCATGCCCTATAGCAAATTATATATATATATATATATATATATATATACACACACACACACACACACACACATACACACTCACACATACATATAAGACATTTATTATAATAAAGTTTCAAAACCAAGCTACTTACAAAAATAAGCTATAATCGGGACCAGCACATGGCAGAATGGTTACACTACCGGACTCCCATGTAGTCGACTACTGTTTGAGTCCCAGATGTGACGACTTCAAACTCACACTGGGCACATGTGCATGCGTGCCCTAAATCTCAAGAGGAGAATGGAGGAGAAGAAGAAGGGATTTGTGGTGTGGCCATCCCCCTGGGAGGTGATTTCTCACTTTCTGTCTCTTTGTTTCTCTCCATCTGTGCCCTATAGCAAAAGTTTCTCAAAAACAAAACAAAACAAAACAAAACAAAAAAATAAGCTATAGTTATGCTTTTGGGGTGTTTTCTGTATGGGGTGGGGTGCTGACTGTGGCACCTGAAAACAGGCGTTCCATGCATCACCCATGGTTTCCTAGTAAGTTTCCCTGAAGCAGGTGTAAGCAATTTTCATTGCTCTATGGACTTTCAAAGATATATGTATTCATGTTATTTATTTAAATCTGACACATATATTATGATTTAAACAAAATTGGATTATAGTTAAATTTAAAGAAAGGCTTGATTTCTCCAGGGTGTGACTCAAAAGTAGCACCTGCCTCTCCCAGGCCCATGAATTGAACTAGCCGGCACAGCAAGCCCACCTTCCCGGACTTTGTGTCTCCCATAGGTGGAAGCAGTCATGGCGGAGCTGAGTCTGAGCCACGTGGCAGACCAACTGATCGGCAACTACAACATGGGGGGCATTTCCAGTGGTGAGCGGCGCCGGGTCTCCATTGCAGCCCAGCTCCTCCAGGACCCCAGTAAGTTAGAGCCAGAATGGCTTTCTTTCTTCCTTTCTTTTTTAAATTTTTGCTATAGGGCGTGTGTGTTTGCCAGAGAGACAGAAAGTGAGAAATCACCCCCCAGGAGGGATGACCACTCACTCTATCTATAATCTCTTCTCCTCCATTCTCCTCTTAAGATCTTGGGCATACATACACACTCGCCTGGCATGAGTTTAAGCTGCCGAGTCCAGGTCTTGAACTGCAGTCGACTACATGGGAGTCCAGCAATGTAACCACTGCACCATCTGCTAGTCTCTAGACCCAAAATGGCTTTCTAGCTGCTGTTGGGCATCTTCCGTGTGTCTGCAGATACTTTCTTCCCAGTCCCACCGCAATCACTGAGATTCTCCACACTGGGCACCTGGCTATTCGGGCAATGCTACCGACTGCCCTTCCCGATGCTATTCCATCACCGAGAACAACACAGCTCTTGGACTTGGAAGTTCTGCGTTTAAGTTTCAGTGTTTCTTCAGGGTCCTTTGCGAATATGGGGCTTTGCCTTGTCTGTCCTTACTCCCTCCTGGAGCAGTACCACTGCATCTGCTGGGGAAAGCGATGATTTTTGGAAAGACTAGAAGTGTTTATGAAAAGGCAGGGGGAAAAGTAGGATATTTGAGTAATATACTCAAAAGCATATACAAGGTTACTTCAAAAAACTCATGAAAAAGTTGATGTATGAGTTTATTTTGGCTCAACAATTTTTTGGAAATCCTGCATTTTTGTCTTACTATGCATTTTCTATGAAAAAAAAAAAACTTAGAGAGTTATTTTTGCTATAGGGCGCTTGCACTCACCAGAGAGACAGAAATAGAAAGAGAGAAACCACCCCCGCCCTTCAGGAGCGATGGCTGCGCCACAATCCCTTCTTCCCCATTTTTTTCTTGGGATTTTGGACATGCACACACAAGCACTCAGCGTGAATTTCAAGCCACTGGGTGGGTCTGGGACTTGAACCATGGTCAATCATGTGGGACTTCAGTGATGTAACCATTATGCCACTTGCTGGTCCCCAGCTTATGTCTTTTTTACCACCCACTTCTCAGCCTTCTCAAAAATACTTGCTGTCAGCCTACAGCCTTTGATTCCTGTCAGGGGCTCCTGGACAGAGCTCAAACAGCCCATAATACCCTGCAAGAGGCCTGAAATGCTGGCTCCTCTGTCCCCTCAAGGGTTAAGCCCTCAGTGTGTTCCAGAGCAAGGAACTGAGCCCTCCCAGGTCAGGTCTTCTCTCCTGGCCCAGGCTGAAAGCCAGGTTGCATGCAGCTACTTCTCACCTCGCACTGTTTAGATGCGATAGAACAATCCCATAAAGGGACCGCTCAAAACTGAGTTTCAAGCACAGAGCCTGGGCTCAGAGGAGGCTCAGAAGGCTGACCTTCTTTGATGGCAGAGGTCATGCTGTTCGACGAGCCGACCACAGGCCTGGACTGCATGACTGCGAATCAGATCGTCGTCCTCCTAGCAGAGCTGGCCCGCAGGGACCGCATTGTGATCCTCACCATCCACCAGCCCCGCTCTGAGCTCTTCAAGGTGAGGGCATCTCTACTTCTGCTCAGCCCGTCAAGGATGGGTAAAAAGTGTGTCGGGCTGGGAGTCGTGGGGACAGGGTAAAAGTTAATGATAGCACTAGGGCAATTGGAGCCAACTGCTCCTGACAGGGAAGGACTGCACTTCTTTCAGTATCTGCCATGTACCGAGTACTCCCTACACACTTGCTCATTTAGTCTGCAATAATCCTATGAGGTGGATTCAGTGTACCTACCTTACAGAGGAAAAGAAACTTAGCAATGATTCAAAATCGAGCCATTATTACATAGTCAAAAACGGGTTGGCACTCATGGTCAAGTTGGCTTCAAAGGCTGTGTTTTTCCATTAAATCACACAGGTTTCCTTCCCTCAAATCTCATTTTATTGTCCCAGTAGCCTTGAAGTTAACTATTACTTGCTTTTTATAAAAGAGGCTCTGAGATTTAAAACAAAACAAAACAAAAACATCCCAGGTTGCCCAAGATCTCTCTCCCCCTGTGTATGGCTGGGACTTAGACTCAGGTCCGGTAGTTCTCTATCCCCCATGTGATGCAGAGGCTGAGACTGAGCTGCATCATGACCTGCAGTGGGAACCCGGGCTGGCCAGTGTAGACCTGCAGGGCGAGTGTATCCAGTGGACGCATTAAGAATACTGAGGCATAGCCAAGGTCATCAACACCTGACTGCTGGCCAATGTACTTCCCACAAGGCTGTGACCTGGTCATCTAACCCCCTCTGTTGTCTGAGCAGCTCTTTGACAAAATCGCCATCCTGAGCTGCGGAGAGCTGGTTTTCTGCGGTACTCCAGTGGAAATGCTTGATTTCTTCAATGGCTGCGGCTACCCTTGTCCTGAACACTCAAACCCTTTTGACTTCTATAGTAAGTTTTTCACTTACCTTCCCCAAAATGAATGTTTTTTAAACGTTCTCATGTAGAATTTCTGCCTGGATGACATCAGGCCTTGTGGGTTTGTTTTTGTGCTTTTTTGTGTGTGTGGGGGTGTGGTGGTTTTTACTTTTTAAGGAATTTGAAGCATCTCTTGCCATTAATGACCTATTAGAATGAAGTGGAGGAGACCGGCAGATGGTGTAATGGTTATAATGCTGTATTCCCACATAGCCAACCTTAGTTTGAGTCCCGGACACTGCAGCTTAAACTCAGGCTGGCGTGTGTGTGCAAAATCCTGAGAGGAGAGTGGAAAAGTGGAGAGAGGAGAGATGGCCATCCCACCTGGGGGGTGATTTCTCACTTTCTGTCTCTCTAGTGAGTGCACATGCCCTATAGCAAAAATCTCTCTCTTCAAAAAAAAAAAAAAAAGAAAAAAAGAAAAAGAAAGAAAGAAAGAAAAAGAAAGCAAGAAAGAGAAAAGAAAAAGAAAAAAGAGAATGAATTGGAGAACTGGAGGGGGGCCAGCAAGTGGTGCAGTAGTTAGTGGTTATGGTGCTGGACTCCCACATGGTGGACAGCAGTTTTAGTCCCAGACCTGGCGGCTTGATACTCATGCCAGGAGCATGTGTGTACATGGCCGAAACCCTAAGGGAGAAGAAGGAATTGTGGTGTGAACATCCCCCTGAGGGGTGACTTCTTGCATTCTGTCTTGCTCTGTCCTTGGGTGAGCATAAGAACCCTACAGCAAAAATCTCTCAATGAAAAAAAGGATAAAGTGGAAGATCTCCCAAATCCATGCATTCCTTGTCAGAGAAAAATTAAATGAGCTTCTGAATTCTTCCAATCACAGTGCAATCCTCATTTACACTGGGTAGCTTTAAAGTATTTTTATTTTATAGATGAGCATTAACGATAGGTTTTATTCTGATAAGGTATTACGGTTGGTACTCCTGAACCAATCATGTAAACACATATATATATATTCAGATTCAGATGGTGTCGACACTTGCAAGAGAGAAAGTACCTCCCAATAGGGTGCAGTCATGCCACAATCCTTTTTCTCATTTCGATCTCATCAGGATTTGAGGCATGGATGCACATGCATCTGACATGTTTTTCAAGCCTCTGGGGTCAGGATTTGAGCCATGGTCAGCCATCTGGGATCTGTCTCCCTATGTACAGCACTTAACTGGTATACTATAAGGCCAGTCCAACACATATATCATTATCCATTGTATATATACGTGTGATTTAGTAACACTTGGATCATATATTTTGGAAAATCTTTTTAGTGGACCTGACATCAGTGGATACCCAAAGCAAAGAACGAGAAATAGAAACCTACAAGAGAGTCCAGATGATTGAATCTGCCTATAAAGAATCAGCAATTTGTCGCAGAACTTTGGAGAACATTGAAAGAACAAAACATCTGAAGACATTACCAATGGTTCCTTTCAAAACCAAAGATTCTCCTGGAGCGCTCTGTAAACTGGGTGTTCTCTTGAGGTAAGCCTCACAGATATAAGTGTGGCCCATTTGAGGTCTTAGATACTCACCAGTCATAAAAGTAAAGGAATTAAAACAGGGTTATTTGGTTTTCAGGAGAGTCATGAGAAACTTACTGAGAAATAAATTGGCAGTGATTATGCGTCTTGTTCAGAATCTGATCATGGGTTTGTTCGTCATTTTCTACCTCCTACGGCTCCAGAATGATATGGAAAAGGGTGCTATCCAGGACCGTGTGGGTCTCCTCTACCAGTTCGTGGGTGCCACCCCGTACACAGGCATGCTCAATGCTGTGACTCTGTGTAAGTGCCTATGCATGCTCCCTTTTCCAGCTGTCGCCTTATCAAAGTCCATCATTATAAGGGTACTTCTCTGAGCTCAATCTGGCCCCCTCCAGACTCTGGGGAAAGGTAGCTATTGAGTCACCATGCCCTTAGTGTAAATGAGCTCACCAGGTGAAACTCTCTGAGGGGCTGAGGACCCAGGGAAATTTGAGTCTATGAGGTGCCGGTGGGAAGGGCTTTGGAAAGAATTTTTCAAAAGATCATTTCTGAGGGACTAGCAGTTAGCGTAATGGCTATGTCGCTGGACTCCCACGTAGTCGACCACGGTTTGAGTCCCGGACCCGGTGGCTTAAACTCCGCCGGGCACGTGTGCATGCGTGCCCAAGATCCCAAGAGGAGAATGGAGGAGAAGGGATTGCGGTGTGGCCATCCCCTCTGGGGGGTGATTTCTCTCTTGCTATCTCTCTGTCTGTCTGGCGAGCGCACGTGCCCTATAACAAAAACCTCTCCAAAAAAAAAAAAAAAAGATCATTTCTGAGACTCAGGTTGGCCATAAGGACACACAGCTAGGGACCCAGCTACCAGGGCAACTTTGCACCATTCCTCTCTGGAGCTTATTTTAGGACAGCCAACAGCTAACGTTCAAACTCTGCAGGAATCTAGAGGCAACACCTAACTGCCCAAGTTTATAGTTTATGCAAGAAAATGGATGCTAATGGGATTTCCAAAATGTAACTGAAGTGGAGGATGCTTCTGTAAAGTTGGTCCTAAAGATGGGTCTGAGAGGCCATGATGAGCTCTGCATGTACCAAGGTTTTCCTTGCCCTTGAGAGCAAGTGAAAAATGCAGGCTGCTTTCAGGGCCAAGATCCTGCACAGACACACAAAAAGGGGATAAAGTGCCTTGAATCACTCATTCATGCCTCCTCTGCATGTGCTGCTTTTCTTTTTCCTTTTTTTTTTTTTTGTTAGAGGGCACAGCCCTTGTAGGAGAGAGAAAAAGTGGAAAGTGCAAAAGCATCCCAACCCCCCTGAGGGAGAGATGGTCACACCACAATTCCATCTCGATTTCTTCTTTTGGGATTTGTGGGTATGCAAGCTTGCACGCACACAAGCCTGGCATGTTTTTCAAGCTGCCTGCCAGGTCTAGGACTTGAGACATGGGGTGGGCCATGTGGAATCCAGTCACCTTAAGCACCACATCACCGGCTGGCCTGACATGTACTTTTCTTGAATTGGTGACAACCCAATTTAGAGAGAAGGAAGAAATTATGTTATCTTTTGCAGCCATATTAGGGCAAAAAAATAGAGGGTAAATTTCTGGGCTGGGAGAGTTTATTGTCCTATGGATGGCAGGTCACTTCCTTCTAAGACTAGGGAACCTGCCCAGCTGGTCCTCACTCTGGCTGGACAGACCTCAAATTGGACTGTCTAGCCCACCCTCCCTTGGCTGTGTGTGACTGACTGTTCCAAAACCTACCTCCCATGCCCAGTTCCTGTGCTGCGGGCCGTCAGTGACCAGGAGAGCCAGGACGGCCTGTACCAGAAATGGCAGATGCTGCTGGCCTACATGCTGCACCTCCTCCCCTTCAGCATCATTGCCACCCTGATGTTCAGCAGTGTGTGCTACTGGTAAGGGGGTTTCCTGGGACATTTAGTTTACCAGGGACCAGGCCTCTCAGGAGTCACTGAGGGCCATTGGGACTGTGGACGGAGAGCTCCAGGGTAAACAGCTCCAAGTTCTCCGCTCTAGGGAATCTGCCTTTTGCCCATCAATGTCTAGTACAATGTCCTGTCTTGCAAGAAATTAATTTTATTATAACTAAAATAGCTCAGTTGAGGGCCACATGGGCCCTGAGAGCAAACCAGTAAGACTGCATGTGCCAGGGAATAGCATGCCCCACATTGATTGCAGGGCCTGGGCCAGAGAAGAGGGCTCTGAGGTAGCTGGGAGCTCGGTGGATGAGGGGCCCAGGTACAGGGGTGGTGAGCACTTGTTCAGCAGCAGCTAAGCCCGGTCTTCCCAGGCTGCTATGCTGAAGCTGACCTAGAACAGCAACTCTGCCTGAGGCTTCGCCAACAGGCCTGGGACATCAGTGTGGCTAAGGTGAGGGGGCCTTAAGGAATTAAAGAATTTTTATAGGGAGAGGGCATTGAGAACCAGGAAGCATCTCTGGTGCTGTAGGGTTTTGATCAATGCTTCTTTTTTTTATTTCCTAGAACTTTATAGAGAAATCTGAGAATGTGTAGTTAAGAGATTTGCATGATTTGTTGTCACAGGGAGATGGAGCCTTCCTAATCACTGTGGCTTCTTCTTAAGAAAAGATGGGGAACATTCCCTGGCATTCTCTGACCCCTTTATTCTACTTGTGTGAAGGTGCCCAACTTCTTGTCTCAGGAGAGAACTTGAGGCAGTTCTTGAGACCTTGTCTACTGCAGGCCACTGGGTTTATGTAAAGTGTGAGACCCATGATAGGCAATATTATACTTTCAAATAATTTTATATATTAAGTTATCTATAAATACAAGCTAAATGAGGACATGGTATAAGCTCCAAGATGAAAAATTGGAAGGTCTTGGCGTGGATTCGAAGTAGGTCTTACTCTGCAGAGTGACAGAGGCAAGGCCACTTGCTCTGTGTTAGCAGGAGGGCAATGGCAAGGACCCCGGGGCTCTCCTTGCTGGCCCTGATGAAGCCTCCTCATTCTCTGACACTCCCTCAGGCAACATGCTGAATCTCGGACCTACAGTGTAAACCACCTCGTCTGAGTGGAACAGGATTGGATGGAAACTGAAGGGTTTCTTAGTTTAGAGCCTTGCTACTCAATATGGCCCATGGACCATGGTGCCAATGTTACTTTGGGGTGAGGCCTACTGAGCTGAATTCTGCATTAACAAGACCCCTCAGTGGTTTGTATGCATTTTAAAATTTGTGAAGCACTTATTCTGATAATGATACAGTATGCCCAGAGATAATGACTGTGAGAAAAATTTGTCCTGTGGGACTTGAGAAAATGGCACTTCTAAACATATTTCAGTGTAAGCATCCAGGTCGTGACTATTTTTGATAAAATATCAGACATGAAAATGCAGTAGCATTTCTAGTGGCAGCACAGCTGCTAGCTAGGTAGCAAAAACTTTAATTAAATGAGAGCAATATTTGTTTAAGGCCTACTAAGTGCCAGGCACAGTGCCGGGTGCTATCGGGGATTCAAAGAGAAATAAACTGAAGGTATTGCTTGTTACGCTTGCAGTTCTGAAATTTAAACATCTTTGAAAACCGTGTGTTTTTTCACTCTCCTATAATAGCAGCACAGTCTGACCCGAACTCAATGGCTAAGTCTAACCAGAACCTACATAAGGCGTATGAACACACTTGTTTAGCAGAAATGCTAGTGTGCTTGATTAGGAGAGGAGCCATGGATCCCACTGCAGCAAGTACGGTCCACAAAGTGGGACACCTTTCCAAAGGCAGTAAATCGCCACATTGGGAAAATGTCTGGCCCTAATGCATTGCAGATAATGGACTGTGGCCAAAAGCAAATCTCCAGATGATTTTAATTCAGGAAAGTGTGGGATTAGGGCAGGTTCAGATAAGGGGTTTGGTTAGTGATATATGATCCAGGAGCATTCTTGCCCAACTTTATTTCATTCAGAAGTGGTCAAATTTTAAAACTTGCTCCTAGATGATTCAGTATCCCTTATCTGAAATGCTTGGGACCTGAAGTATTTTAGATTTGAGATTTTTGGGGGCTTTGGACTATTTACATATAAATAATGAGATACCTTGGGTTTGGGCCCCAAATCTTAGCATGAAATTAATTTATGCTTCATGCACACCTTGTACACATAAGCTGAGGGTAATTTTATAAATGTAGTGTTCTGACTGCATGTGAGGTCAGGTGTGGAATTTTCCACTGGCTGTGTCATGTCAACACTCAAACAGTTCTGGATTTAGGATATTTGAATTAGAGATGCTCCACCTGTATTATATAGGAGCACAAACACTATGCTGAGGAACACAAAGCAATGACAGTTAATATGTATTGAGCACTGGCTTTCTGTCAGGCACTAAGAACTTGACTATATTAATGCATGAACTCCTTCTAGCCATAATACAATTATCCTTGTTTGTAGATAAGGAAATTGAGGCACAGGGGAGATATCTTCCCTATATCACATTCATTGTCTCAGTGAATTACAAAGGAGACCAAGAGTCCATTTGGCTGGGTTGGGAGAGGGAGTCCAGAAGAAGAACTTGAGAACAAAGTAACATCTCAATGACATGGAAGTGAGGCTGTTCCAGGTGAAGAAAGAGCAGGGGCCTAAATTCAACAGTAAAAACACAGGCCAGCTCTGGCCTGATGGTTAAGACAGCAGAACCCACATGACTGATTGCATGGTTTGAGTCCCATACCTGGCAACTTGAGAAACAAACCAGGTAAGTGTGTACGTGTCTCCAAAATCCCGACAGGATGGAGAAACAGAGGAGAAGGGATTGTAGTATAACTATTCCCCATGGGAGATGCTTTCTCTTCTCCCTGTCTGTCTGCCTCTGGAAAGTACATATGCTCTCCAGAAACAAAAACAAAAACAAAAACAAAAAATAAAAACAAACAAGCAAAGGCTAAAACCCATAAACTCTTTCTGAGAAAAGGTTCAGCTGCACTGTGGGGAATGAAGGACTGGACTGAAAGCCCTTGGAGCCCAGTAAGGGGCTGCTGACTGCCAGGGGGCTGAGCCGTATGTAACAATGGGACATAGGAGAGGATTTCAAACCAGGGAGCAGCCCGTCTGTGTTGGACCCTGAAGGATGAGTCTGGCAGGGCAGAGATGGTGGCTGGCTCAGTGGGAAGCCTTTGCAATAGTGTGGGAAGAGCAGAGGCTCCTAAGTGGAGAGAGTAGCAGCAGCAGCAGCAGCAAAGGGCAATCACGTTGAGATGCTGGGAAGGTACAATCAACTAGGCTCAGAAATGGAATGGGTTTGTTGGAGTAAAGAAAGTCACAGATGATGCCCGAGTTTTCAGCCTGAGGGAATGGGAGGAGGAGAGCAGCCTTATCAAGTTGTCAGGGAAAGTGAATGGGCTTGGTTTTGAACACACTGCATCTCAGGTGCTACAGAACACCCCAAATCTGAGGTTTGGGTGATAAACTGGAGTGGAAGAAAAAGGTAAGAGGAGTAAGGAGTAAAGGACTAGGAATGGAGTCTAAAGAAAGGTAAGGAAGGGGGAGGACAGTCTGAGTAGAAAACCTGAGGACAGGCATACTGGGAGGGTGGGAAGAGGACACAGCCACTGAAGGATGGAGAGGAGAGGACAGGGAGGTAGGCGGTGAAGAGGACTGTGCAGTATCACAGAGGATGAGAGGGGGAAGACCGTCAAAGAGGCTTAGACCCCTTCCCCACTGCAGAGGTAAAAAAAAAAAAAGTGAAGTGCAGGTGAGGTCACCTGCATCTTCCTAAGAGCTCCAGGAGCGCTGGGGATGCAGGTCGAGTTTACAGGGGAGTGAGGAGGGAGATGGAGGAAGCAGATGCTGTTTTGAGAACATCAGAGTACAGCGTAGGATACAGAAGGCAGTTGCTTAAATGATCATCGGGTTCAAAGAGTGACTGTTGTAGGATATGAAAAGTAAAGCCAACAAAAAGTGTTCAATTGCGAGTACATGAAATATAGCCCAAGTCGGATCTACCACAGATTGTTCACAGAATACAACACAGGAGATAGGGAAATTTTAACATGGGATCAAGGATACAAATAGAAAGGGTCATGCTTGCAAAGATAAGAGAGAGAATAGAAAACATAGAGAAGACGAAGCTAAGAAATTCATAAAATATAAAATAGAGCCAGCCCATGGCTTGGTGGTTAAGGTGACTGAATTCCACACAGCCAACTATGCAGTTGGAGTCCCAGACCTGGAGGCTTGAGAAACACACGGGATGATCTGCGTGCGTGCCCAAAAGAAAGGAGAGAGAGATGGAGGAGGGATTACAATTTTCCTGTGCCCCACAGAGGTTGCCTTCTCACTTTCTCTCTCTCGGTCTCTCTCCAGCAAGTACACAAGTCCTCTGGCAAAAATTTAAATACATTCATAAAATGGGAGGCAAGTCCATCTGCTGTGCACTAAGGAGAGTACAACTGGGGAGGGGAGTGTTTAATTTAAAGAAAAGATTTCTATCAGTCATGATGATACCATTAGAACCTCACATGCAATGAGGAGACCCTAGGGATCCAGGAACCACGTAGGCAAAGTAGCAGAATGGGTCTACTTAGTACAATACGCCTGCTG